ATTGGAGCTATGTGGCCGGTGTTAGTACAGGTTCCAAATGGCTGTATGTTAATTGATCTGCCAAATTCCTTGCCCTTCTGTAGGTCATTGAGGGTTGACTGGCAATAGTGTTTTTAAGAGATGGATCATATTGCAATACTGGCCAGTTTCTATTGAAAACCTGTTGTGCCATGTCCCAGTGATTGTCGTAAGTACCTATAAATCTTGTCATACCTGGGGATATAGTCCTCAATGCAAGTCTGTAAAATGTCCTTGAAGAAATAAAAAAATACATTTTCTCAAATGCACGAGAAGTTAAACAGGAAATTAAAAATTACATAACAAAACTGACAAACAAATTCCAGGCTATGGAAAACTTGATGGGAAATATGAATTTCCAGATAAAATCCTTAAACGAGGAATCAACAAAAATGACAATTAAAATCGTCTATCATGAAAATAAAATAAATGATCTTGAAGATCATCACATAGGAAAAATATAGGATTTTGACATTTCTAAGATACAGGTAAACAAGAAGATTTGAGACAACTACTACAAGATTATTTTACATAGCTGGGTCTTACCCTAAATGGCTATGATGAAAAAATATATAGATGTCCCAGGCTAAGTAAACTGCTAAACATAGCACCTGACATTTTTTAGAGACATTATTGTCTGCTTTTATTCTTATGAATTGAAAGATAAAGTACTGCAAGCAAACAGAGGAAAAGCAATAAAAGAGGGAACATACTCCAATATAACAACATTACTGGATTTATCATACAATAAAAGATCAAATAGAAGATGCCCTTTTATATATAAGATAATTGATCCCTTAGTTACCAGACCGTTTTTCAATTGTCTTAACGTTAAGGACCAGGGTTCTTTTTACATTTCTGCAGTGTTTGTGTTTAACTTTAATTTTCCTCTTACTCATTTACTGTACCCACACATATTATATACAGTTTTTCTTGCCATTAAATGGTATTTCTAAAGATACTATTATTTTCATCATATCATATAATTTACTATAAATTTTTTTATAACGTATAATGAAAAAAAAAAACTTTGACCCCCAAAATCTGTTATGCATCTACAACCGTCAAAAAACACCCATGCTAAATAGTTTCTAAATTTTGAATTTTGATTTTTTAGAAATACCCAATGTTAACATGTTCTTAGCTTTGTTTTGCAAATAATAGGGCAATAAGTACAAGGAGCACTTTACTATTTCTAAACCATTTCTTTTCAAAATTAATGAAATTACATTGTAACACTGATATATGTCAGGAATCCCTGAATAACCCTTCACATGTATATATTTTTTAAAAGAAGACAGCCTAAGGTATTAAACTTAGGGTATTTTGACGCTTTTCATGCAACCATTTTACCACCTATTTATGCCAATTAAAACAAATAAAAATAATAATTGCTGATTTTTTGGACACACATAACAATTTAAGAATACATGTACAGAGAACTGTAAGGGTTACTGCCAAAGTACACCCCAATATGTGTTCATCAACATCTACTGAGTACAGTGACACCACCCATGTACAGATGTGTCAGGTTCTATAGAGGCTAAAAGACCTTATTTGGAGGGTGTGCATTCCAGTTTTCCAACTTGGAATTTCCACATCTGGTCATCATGCACCCATATCCTATTTGGGACATTTTTGAAGTACAGTGATACCACCCATGCATAGGTTTGTTGGGTTGTTTGGGGGGGTGCAATGCCGAACTTCTGACATTTGTTTTTCAAATTTGACATAGCTTCTTTGTCTATCTTCTTTTTGCGGGCCTTTTTCCATACCCCAAATTATTTTCTTGCCATGAACGTGCATATATTTTAAAAGTTGACACCCAAGGTATTGTAGATGGAGTGTTTTGATGCTTTTGATGCAACCGTTTTAGCCATACAAATTGGAGAAAATGTGTATTGGTAATTTTTTTCAGTTTTACACACGCATTTGTGTGGGATTTAGGTGAGACTGTTGTTGGTTATTGCAAGAAAACACTCCAGGTTGTTTTCTGAAAGGCCTCTTGAGTACACCCATGGCCCCCCATGCATAGGCTTGCCAGGATTTTGGGAAGGTTCAGTTACAATGGGATTACTTGTAATTTGAATTGAAATATAGAGTATTTCTTCTGATAGGCCTATCTTTAGTTTGGGGCCGATCACATACTCCATTTTTATGTATTGCCATGGAAGTGTATATATTTGAAATGTAGACACCTCAACGTATTGTATATGGTGTGCTTTGATGCCTTTGATAAAACCAGTTTAGCCCAAAAAATTGGAGAAAGTGTTTGGTGGTCATTTTTCAATTTTCATTTTTACACACACATTGCTTTTTGACTGTGATTTAGGAGAGCCTGTTGATTATTGCCAAAAAAAAAATAGGTTGTTTTCTGCAAGGCCTCCTGAGTACACCCATACCCCCATGCATAGGTTTTTGCCAGGATTTTGGGAAGGTTCAGTTACAATCGAATAACTTGTAATTTGAGTTGAAATTGAGAGTATTTCTTCTGATAGGCCTATCTTTAGTTTGGGGACGATAACGTACCCCAGTTTTATTTATTGCCATGAAAGTGTTTATATTTGAAACATACACACCCCAAGGTATTTATATATGGAGTGCTTTGATGCCTTTGATGCAACCGTTTTAGCGGAAAAAATTGGAGAAAATGTGTGGTGGTAATTTTTCAATTTTAAGTTTTACACACTCATTCCTTTTTGACTGTGATTTAGGAGAGCCTGTTGTTGGTTATTGAGTACACCCATGCCCCCAATGCATAGGCTGAACTTGATCATAAAATAGTCTCGCACAGTAAAAGTAAAAAAACAACAACGCAGGAACAGTAAACGTAACCAAAAACAAAAACAAAACTGAACGGCAAATGATAAAAAAAATAAAAAATGGACCAGTGTGTGGTATCGCTTGAAGCAGTTCCCAATGCAGAGCCCAGGCTGTCCAGGACAATAAAAGATGGTGTCCTTTCTCTGCCCCCTCTTGAAACAGACTCTGCATCTTCTTTGAGGATTTCTGCTTTGCCGAGGTATTTTTAAAAAAAAGTGGGTGGCCCCAACTCTGCTATCTCCCATCACCGCCCGGGGAACAGGTGCATCTTGGTACAAAATGCCCGAAATGAACTGGAGCTAAAACTGTTAAAAAACTGTAAAAAAAAGTCAGTTTAATTCCAGGGTTTGCTTTTTTTACACAACAAAAAAGCGTTGTGGGTTGCTATCTGCATTAAGTAAATTGCAACCTTTTTGTTACAGGCCCTTGTCTTCTGTATAATTAGGTAGGGCTGCAGCAGCTGATCTGCCAGATCAACCCCAGCCATATGCTGGTTATAGGCCTTGATGTACACTGGCTTCCTTGTGCTCTCAGCTCTGCCATGTACAGAGACCTCCACCGTCCTCTCATTGTGGATGGTGGTAAGAAGGTACACATACTTCTTGTCTCTGTACTTAACTGCCAACAGCTCCTCTTGGCGCAGAGCTGATGTCACCCCATTTGTAGCCGGGTGCGTGAAAGTTGTCCTGGGAAACCTGTATGGTTCTTCTTGATTGTACCGCAAGCTACTGTATCAAACCAATACAGTAGCTTGAAAAAAGGGACAACAATTGTGTGGATACAAGTGGTACCCATTGTTCTTCAGGGAGAATATCAGGTCCCAGACAATCCTGTCACTGGCTCCTATATGTTCTGGGCAAGATGGTTATCCTTTCCCTCGTACACCCGGAATGCCCGAGTATACCCAGTCTCGCTCTCACAGAGGTTAGACACCTTTACATCATAGCTGGAGTGCTTAGAAGGAATATACTGCTTGAACACCAGTCTCCCCTTATACTTCATCAGGGATTCATCCACGTATATATTCCTTCCAGGTGTATAAGCCTCTGCAAACCTGGCAGCGAAGTGGGTAATCAGGGGATGGATTTTATACAGCCTGTCAAACTAGGAATGCTCCCTAGTCGGGCACATGCTGTTGTCGCTGAAGTGCATGAAAAGTATAATCATTTCATACCTCTTCCTCAACATACACTAGGAGTAAATGGGGTAGAGCAGATGGGGCTACCACTCCAGTAGGAGCGGATGGAGGGCTTCTTTATGATGCCCATCAGCATAGTCAATGCCTAGAATTTTTTTAATTCTGGCAGATCGATGGGTACCCATTGCTGCTTTGTCAAAAAAGAGGCTTTGCAGCACGGAACAGATGGGCATATAAATTAGTTTGGGCGACAATGTTCACCAATACATCATCACTTAAAAACACCTCCATAAAATCTTGGGGGTTAAATCCTGCGACATCCACATTGATGGCAGGATTTGCAGTGAAGGGTGGGATATTTGGCCTCTGGCGATGAGGCGCTACCCATTCCTCAGCAGCACTGCCAGCTGGAGCAGCACATCTCCTTCTGGCAGGGGGACTAGCAGCCACAGACACATCATAACTAGATACATCACTAGCAGCAGATACTGTAAAATCAGGGTTGGAGTCAGACATAGACACGTCAGACTCTAACGCAAGGATGGCATACGCCTCCTCAGCGCTATACGACTTCTGTGACATGATCACAATCACTTTATTTAGTGATCTGTCACAAAAAACACTAAAAAAAAATTAACCCCTAAAAAAATGCACAGACAGCAAAAAAGTGCTGCTGTACAAGAGCCAGTGATTATAGTGATCACTGGCAAGATAGGGGTTAATGGCTCTGAAAAGAGCCTTTGGGTCTCACAGTTTTACAAATCCCACCTAAAACTACCTAAATCTCTCTACCTAAAACACAGATCTCTCTCTCATTACGGTACGATAAGAGAAAACCAGCACCGGCACCAGCCTGTCCAGACTCTGACCCGGTCACCACATCGGTCCTGAAGGCACTTCTGTGGACCTTCAAACCACAATCCTAATGGACATAGCAAACATCATCACAGATACACAAGGCCTGACAGGTCGGATGGGAGTCCTGGAGACCACTGCGAGCGACCAAGCTTAGCAGCTGGCCATGCTCCAGCAAACTGTGAGGGAGCTGCAACACCAGGCAGAGAGACATGACCGCCGCTTTCCTGCACTGGAAGACATGTGGTGCAGTACCAAAGTTAAGGTACGAGGTGTTAGGAAGGATATCCTGGCAAAGGAACTACCACACCTGTTAAGGCGCCTATTCCAAACACTACTCCCTCAGAGACAAGGGAAAATAGTGGGGCTGGAAGGATTCTTCCACGTGCCCGAAGCATCTAGGGTCCCAGCCGCAGCACCCATGGACCTTGTGGTTCGCTTTCAGAATATGAAAGAAAAAGCCACAGTCATGGCAGCCACTAAAGACCACACTCCCTACGAATTCGATTCCATGTCACTCATATTCTTCCAAGACCTCTCAGGAAGTACCCTAGCATGGCAAAAGTTGCTACTACCCTTCACTTTCCTCCTCAGATGACACAATCTACAGTTCCAACGGAAGAAGGAGCGCACACTTATGGTCTACAATGGAGATAAGAAACACTTGGTCCAGGACTTCGCAGAAGCTACAAAGCTGCTAGACACCCTCAATATGCAGTTTAATTAGGTAAAGCTTCCTTGTCCTTCTTGGAAGCTATGCAACCACTAGATGCCCAGACATCTTAAACTCTCTAGTTCTTTTAAATAAAAAAATTGGGCAGACTCAATGAAAGTCATATCACCACTGTACTCAGTTTATGACAGTGATTGATTGAAAACGCTGCTGTGACAAACAATGCCATGCAGAACTAAACACACTTATGCCAATGCTAGTTATGCTGTCAGAACATCAAACATGTTCTTCATACATTACAGATCTAATGTTATAGCCTGATCCATACTCTTATTATAAAAAAATTGTGCTGTTACTCTACATGCTGACATTCTATATTGTTCCTATTGGGCTTGTTACAGCTGTTGTGGCTTTACAAGCATGTTATTCACACAACAAAAATAAAGAATTATAAAAAAAAATACAGAAGCAAAAATATCTCTATATGCCGATGATATTTTATTGTCACTTACATACCCAGAACTGTCCCTTCCTTCCCTGATACAAAAAATAAATAAGTATTGTAAAGTATCAAACTAAAAGTTAAACGTTTTTAAATCAATCGCGTTAATTAGAAACATGAATAATGAAATTATTAAAGAAATTAGGGAAAAATTTAACTTCATCTGGACAACTAAGGAGTTCAATTATTTGGGTGTGACAATCCCAGCACAGATTAAGAACACTATGGAAATAAATGTACTTAAGCTTTTAAAATACACCACTAAAGCGTTAAAAGAACTGGTCATACCTGTTCAGAATGCTACCTTTTTGAATGCCGGAAAGCTTACGTATGATTCAATCTAGTTTCCAGGCATATATATATATGGTAAGGTAAAAATCCCAGAATAAGTGTTAGGGTTCTTTTGAGAAAATACAGGTAAGGAGTCTTAAACTACCCTGATACACAAGCTGCAAGTTGATGCTTGCAAAAATGACATATGGTACAAATTTGAATCTGAAGCGGTAGGAGATAGGTTTGAATCCTATTTATGGCTTAATAGTGGTAAAAAAGTTACAGATCAATTCTATAATAAGTCGCTAATATTATCACAAACTATCCAAGTTTGGGATGTAATAAAAAAACGGCTGAAAATTATGCAAAAGATACCTAAAACTTGCAGATTCATTACATTGGAGGATAATATTCAGGACAAATCCTTGAAAAACTGGGTCAAATGTGATTGGCGAATTGCTATTGTGTTATTATGGGTGGGCCAAAATTCAGAGTGAGTTTGAGGAGTCAATAATTTTTTTTTATTAATGAACCAATTTCAATGATATTACATACGATGAATGTTTACTGTATGGAGATTTGTTTAACTAGATAGGGAAGATGATAGTTTTTAAATTAGCTCAATTTGCTGCCTCGCAAAGTCGGGCTCTTTCAAATGCATTGTTCATAACATTAGTTATTGTTGGTGGCTCTAGCGCTCAAATTTCTGTACCTTGAGCTGCTTAGGTTTATGTGGTTTGTTCATGTACTTCCACCAGAGGCGTACCTAGAGTCTCTAGCGCCCTTGGCAAGAAACTGAATCAGGGCCCCCCTTGTTGCCTCTTTACTCGGTGCCCCCCATCATTAAAGAGTTAGAATTTCAGTTGTTTGTCTTTTTACATCAATTTCCATCATTTTTAATTGTCTGCATATCCATTAAAGATAATATTTAGGTTATACAGTCCCTTTTCAATTGTTTTGACTCAAAAACAGATATTGCATATGAGCATAGTACTCAGATGAGATTTATGCTAAACATGTGGTATCACATTCAGAAGAAATATAAAACCTTAATAGGTTTTATATTTTTTCTGAAAGAACTTATTTTACATTTTTAAATGTGCTAAGTATAATAAAAGATAAGAATCTGTATTCAGATTATATGAAAACAATATTATTTTTAATTCTATGCTTTTTATCAATTATGGATAAATCTCCAATTATTTATAATAAAAAAGTGGAAAAATGTACTATTAACACTTCAAATTGTAACTGGGCAAGTAATGCCAAACTTGACATAAATAACAGCATAGAGAAAAACCAGTATTAGTAATTGTTTTTTACACAGGCTTGAAATAGAGATGCTTGAAATAAACTTTACATACAGTTGTGCTAAAAAGTTTGCATACCCTTGGAGAATTGGTAATATATGAACCATTTTTAAAGAAAATATGAGTGAGCAGGGAAAACACATTTTTTTTACATTTCTTAATGGATTCATATTCAACTGTAGGTTTTATGGCACAATCATAAAACAAAACATAGAAAAAAATAAATTTATCCCACTGTTCAAAAGTCTGCATACCCTTAGTTCTTAATACTGTGTATTGCCTTATTTAGCATCAGTGACAGTACTGACTGGAACTTTCAAGGCTTTGGATATCTTTTTCTATAATTTTCCATCTTTAAAAAAAAAAAATCTTTTGACAGTGCTTTTCTGCTCCCCATGGCTCAGTATTTAGCCTGCTCAGTGCATCAACTTGAGAGCTAACATTCTCATTGACTATTTATACACAGACACTAATTGCAATTTAAAAAGCCACAGGTATGGGAAATGAACCTTTAATTGCCATTTTAACCTGTGTGTGTCACATTGTGAGTCTGTAACAAGGCCAAACATTCAAGGTTATGTAAACTTTTGTTTAGGGCCATTTGGGTGATTTCTGTTATCATTATGATTTAAAAAGGAGCCAAACAACTATGTGATAATAAATGGCTTCATATGATCACTATCCTTCAATAAAAGAAATTTTTTTTGCATGATCAATCAGTTTTTCAAAATCAATGCCAATATTTCACAATTTCTACCATGGTCTGCAAACTTTTGAGCACAACTGTATACTGTTATATTATTCTGCAGTGAGCAAAAGAGTCTGGCGTTGGCTCTAACAATCCACATCAAACTGATCGTATATCATAATTGAAGTATCACTTTAAGAAAAGATCATCCACAGGGATCAAATGGCTGTAGAATGTCATACACATTTTATAGTCCCAGAGTAAAACTCCTTAAGACCAGACACTCTATGTCCATAAAAGAGTAAGGCAAACAAATAATAAAGTGAACAAACAATGAAAATAGGAAAAATGAAAAACAGGTTAGATCTCACCTAGTTATCAATTGTAATGTCCAAGCCTGTAGGTAGCTATAGTCAATATGTGGGAAGTCGAGCTGTCCCAAGATTGTGCAAAAGTCCTGTAGTGGTCCACGTGTGTTAAGATGGAGCTTAGACATCAAAGGCAGCTTTTTAAGCCATGCAGGTAAATATTTTTATTGTTGGAGGCCAGCTTTGAAATTCTTCTATACAGTGGACTAGCTGTAGGCCGACAAAACAAAAGAAGGGATTCTTGCATACAGTAGCTACCCATGCAGACCGAAAGGTCCTTCAAAGGCCTGCTGTGTAGTATGTCCCAAGCCCCTGTTAATTGATAGGGCGCATAGTTAAGAAACCTAGAATACAAGAGCATTCTATCTTAAAGCCTATAATATGGGGGTATTTTAGGCCATTATAATACCAATGCTGTATGGGAAAACGGGACTCAGAGGGATCTGAATAAGACAGAAATGAGAAATATAGAAACAAGGCACTTGATACAGAAAAAAAATATATGTACTACATCAATGACAAAAATGAAAATACAATGATAAAGACAATTAAAGTAAAAGTAATAGGATCCCTAATCTCAAAGAGAAAAAATAGAAATGAAAGAAAAAACTAAAAAATTTGAAAAAATAAAATAACAGAATAATATGTACAAGTTGCATAATTGGACTTACTCCAAAAAAACAGAAGAGTGAACTATCCAATAATAGAAAAGTAAAAAAAAAAAAAAAATCTGAAAAAGAAGAGAGGAATAGTGATGTCCCGAACGGTTCGCCGAACGGTTCGCCACGGACGGCGAACATAAACATAAACTTTGACCCTGTACCTCACAGTCAGAAGACACATTCCAGCCAATCAGCAACAGACCCTCCCTCCCAGGCCCTCCCACCTCCTGGACAGCTCACTAATCTCAAAGAGAAAAAATAGAAATGAAAGAAAAAACTAAAAAATTTGAAAAAATAAAATAACAGAATAATATGTCCAAGTTGCATAATTGGACTTACTCCAAAAAAACAGAAGAGTGAACTATCCAATAATAGAAAAGTAAAAAAAAAAAAAAATCTGAAAAAGAAGAGAGGAATAGTGATGTCACTAAGAATGCAGCTTTACAATGAATGTCAAATGGATGCTGTCCAGGAGGTGGGAGGGTCTGGGAGGGAGGGTCTGCTGCTGATTGGCTGGAATGTGTCTGCTGACTGTGAGGTACAGGGTCAAAGTTTATGTTTATTTTCGCTGTCCGTGGCGAATCGTTCGGCGAACCGCTCAGGACATCACTAGAAAGGAACAAATTAGAAAAAAATATTTTTTCATAGCAATCCTCCTGACAATGTCCCCGGGTGTTTTAATGGAAGTGTATTGATAATCCTCATTAAGACCCAGAGGATGTAGACAATTCAGTCTAATAATCCAACTCATTTACTTCATTTAAAGCAGTTGTTCCCGATCACCTGCCTTTTACTTGAAACCCCAGTTGATTAACATTATGTTCAGCATCTATGAAGTGACGGGCAACAGGGAACTTAGAGGTGCCAATAGATTTATAAGGACTGCGTATAGAACTCTTATGTTCTAAAATTTTTAATTTAATTTAAGTGCATCTTTATAGTATATATATCTTTATTGGATATTAGTTTTTGGTATCTCTGCTCTTATCTAAGTGTGTGAGACATAACCTTGTGTATATATACTGGGGGCATATATTGACTTATCCTAGCACCCAGAACTTACCACAGCACTGAGATTGCAGTCACAGGACTTTCCCAGCATCAACCCCAGCACTTAGACTG